CCATTCACTGAGACCCTGCTTTCTCTTATCTCCGCTGCCTGAAATACAACCCGTCCTGGCTTCATTTCACCAGGAGGCAGGTGAGCTGTCGGGGACCCAGGCAAGTTGACTTGGTGTTAAGACTTGGTTCTGCTACGTCCTGGTTGTCTGACCTTAGTCAAGACCAGTGAGCTCTCTGGGTCTCATTTTCCCTGTCTGACTTGAGGAATGAGGGTTGAAACAAAGTCTTCGCTTGAGGGCTGTTCAGAGGCTGAAGAGGGAGGCGAGGCTGACTCACTAACCACTGGAGATTGCCAGGCAGGGCTGATGCCAACGTGACCATGAGTCCTACCAGGAGAAGGAGATGCAGCCTAGATTATTCTCTGAACCGCTCATGGAAGAGGAGACACTGGGCTCAAGCCACAAAAGACAGAGGTGACCCTTAAAGAAGGATATTCTAGGAGAAAGAAAAAGCTGAGGAGACAGGGAGAGTTAGATACTAGGTGGCTGGGAGCGGTGGGGAGAAATCCACTTCTTTTTAAGGTAAACCTGGAGAGACTATTTTTTTTCTTTTTGGCTGCATTGCATGGCTTGCGGGATTTTATTTCGCTGACCAGGGATTGAACCAGGGCCCTTGGCAGTGAAAGCGCGGAGTTCTAACCACTAGACCGCCAGGGAACTCCCTGGAGAGACTGCCTAGAGGTTATAAGAGCGGAGAAATTGGAAGGAAGAGGGACCAGTTACCTGGCATCTTTCCACTCTCATTCTGCTGCCACCAGATCCAGGATGTCCGTTCATTCATTCACTCATTGGTTCTACATGTATTTACCGAGCTGGAGCAGTGGATGAAATGGTGAGCTGAAGACATTTGATTCCTGCCCCAATAGAGAAGGATGACTGCAACTGTTTGCCTGTCTGACTCCATACGCCTTTGTGGAATGACTGATGATCTTGTTTTCATGTGCCTCCAGGCCTTGGCCCTTGTGGTTCCCTCGGCCTGGAACACTCTCCAGTCTGCATGGCTTCTTCTTGTTGAGATGGTCTAGAGTCAGTTCCCCACCTGCCCCCTCCCCCTCTAGCTCTTCACCCAGATTTACGAATCTCAGTACCATTTATCACTGTTGAAGTTCCTTTGCTTGTTGGCTTGTCTGTCCTTTCTCAGTAGAATGTAAGCCACTCAAGAGCAGGGTCCTTACCTGTCTCACTGCCCACAGAGTCTCGGGGACTAGTCCGTGCCTGGTAGCAGATAGGGGCTCGATAATGTGTAATAAGAGAATGCATGGATTTTGTAGATAAGGAAGCAGATGCAGAAAAAGGAAAGACTGGTCATGAGCATGAAATTGTATAATTATAGACCCAGTACTAAACAAGCATGGGCATTTCAGTTATGGAATGGAGGGTGGCAATTTAAAAACAATAACAAAACTAAGAGATAAAGGAGGTAAAGTAAGGGCAGGTGGGAGCAAGGAGTTGCCTGCTTTCTAAAATGGGGATATCTATAATCAACACCTTTTAACATATTTGTCGGCCATTTGTATGTCATCTTTGGAGAAATACCTGTAAATAAATAAATAAATTTTAAAAATGGAGAGATCTACAAAGAAAACACCCTGACTTCACTCTCCTCTTTTTCCTCATCTCTCTTCTGAACCTTGGTTGCTGAATTATTTAGGAAGCACTATCTCTCACGTGGTAAAGGAAGATTTAAAGTTTAACAGTTCCTTCAGCTTCATGTTGGCTTCCTCGTCTTCTATTAAAAGAAAATGAAATAAATTAAAAAATAGCAACTATAAGGTATTAAGATTTAAAAATAAATATTTTTTCTGTCTGTCAACCCTGCACCTATCTATCTACCTATCTCGATAAATAAATAAATATGCTTAAAAAGATGTCTGGGATTTATCTAATATTCATGAAAGTTATTTCTGGCTGATAAAATTTTGATTTTCTGTATTTTCCTGCATAGTTTTAAGTTTTTACAATGTACATGTATTGTACCCCTTTTGCAAGAAGAAAACGATTTTTAAAAAACAATTGAAAGTAGGTACACCAAAATGTAATTGATAGTTAATTTTGGATGGTAGGAATATTAAGAGTTTTTTTTTTTTTTTTTTGTGGTACGCGGGCCTCTCACTGTTGTGGCCTCTCCTGTTGCAGAGCACAGGCTCCGGATGCGCAGGCTCAGCGGCCATGGCTCACAGGCCCAGCCGCTCCGCGGCATGTGGGATCCTCCTGGACGGGGGCACAAACCCGCGTCCCCTACATCGGCAGGCGGACTCTCAACCTCTGCCCCACCAGGGAAACCCTAAGATATTTTATTTGTAATTTTTCTGAAATTTTTTTATTTTGAAGAGGAATTTATAAAAGGAAAAATGTGAATTTAAGATTAATTCTTCAGGGATCCAGAGAGGGCAAGCAGAGTCAAGGTCAAGGTTGATGAGTCCTGGGTCAAGGCATCTTTTCAGCCAGGAGAGGCCCCAAGGCAGACAGCTAACAGGAAGGATACCGTAGCCAGGTTAGGGTCTCAGGGAATGGAATTGAAGTTGCTATTGGAAGCTGGACCTCTCCTGGCTTGCGGGCACCCAGCAGGAGCACACCGGCTTCCCCCTGGGTGGCAGAGGTCGGTTCCAGGGAGAATTTTTAAGCAGTGAAAGGGCTAAATTCTCACAGTTCCTACAGTGCCTATACAGATGCCGAGGTTTGACAACTGGAGCTCAGAGACCTGTCCAGGCCCTCACAGGAAGCCAGGTACAAAACAAGTGTTCCATGATTATAAATGAATCTGTGTAGTAGGCGGTACGTGGAGCATCACGTGAAGATTTTTTTTTTTCTTTTTCTAGAGAGGAGAGACATTCACTTTGGGAAGAAGCCACTGGAATAGGAGAAACTGCATAAGACAGGGGAGGGAGGGAGGGGCCCAAGGCCACTGGGTGGGTTAAAATGATAGGGGAGGTAAGGCACTGGGTGGCGGACAGAGAGGCAGCCTTCACTTCCATAATGTTGAAATCACACACTTGTGTGTCTGTCTTTTCACCGGACTGTGACCTCCTTCTACGGCTTGTATCCCCATCGCCTAGCAGGGCGCCCGGTTCCCCTAAGTGCTCCATAGTTGATGAACTGAACGGAGGCAGCTCCTCGCTTCGGTCCGGTCCCCGGCTCTTGTAGAGAAAGCAAGATAAACACATTCCCCGCAGGAGGCCAGGGTTCTCTTGCTCCTTTGGGGGAGACTACTGGGCATTCACAGGGGTAGTTTAATACTCCGGAGTGGAGGGATTGGTGCAGACAGCCGGTCCTCTGCACGGATTTGCCAACCTCAGCCCTGGGGGACAGCTGGAGATGTCGAAGGAGGTGGCAAGGTGCGTGCGCCCCTCTTACCAGGCCCGCGGATGCTGGTGGTACCCAAGGAGGCGCCCGGATCACTAGGGATAGAGCTAAGCCAGGGGTCTTCTGCGCGAAGTGCTCCCATCTCAGAGCATCCTGGTTCACCTATTTCACTAAACTCGCCTTCCCCATCTGGCAAGTGGGAAGGCTCTCTGCCTCCAGGACCCCTGGGGGCGGGGCGGGGGGGGCGGGGAAGAGAGCAGGACTGCTGAAACAGCTGCACGCAAGTGAATGGGCATCACCACGGGGTTCGAGCTGGCTCTCTCGGGCCGCGGCGCGAGCGCGGCCAGGTTCCCCAGCCCGGTGCGGAGCGTGCCCTCCCCGCGCCATCTGGGCCCCCGGCGGCCCAGGCCCTCCCCGCCTCCGCGCGCGGCCCTCAGCGGCAAGATGCCCCGAGCTGCTCCGGTCGCGGGCGGAGGGGCTCGCGGGGCGGCGGACCGGGCGGCGGGGAGCTGAGGGGCGCGGGCAGCGCTGGGGCCGAGGACGCACGCGACCAGTCGGGCGGCGCGCGCTTTCCCCTCCCCCGCAGCCCGGAGCGCGAGCCGCCGTGACGTCACGGGCCGCCCTCCAGCCCCGCGCTCCAGCGGGCCGAGCGCGTGCGGCCGCCGAGCACATGGGCCCGCGGGCCGGGCGGACTCCGGGCGGCCGGGACCCGGAGTATCAGCGAGGGGCCGCGAGCGAGGGTGGGCCCCGGCACGCGCCCGGAACCCCCTGAGTGGATTTCCACGCGGAAAGGCTGTTGGCGGCCCCGGTGACCTGCGGAGACACGGTTGAATCCACCTTCCAGTAAGTTAGAATTCTGTCCTCTGCCTTTCTGGAAACTCGGAAGCCTCGGCCTTGCGGGTCGGGCGGGATGCGTGGTGAGTAACTGGACGGAAGGAAGGGGCTTTCGGATGCCAATGGGTGTGTTCACTGTGCACTTTTCTCATCCCCAGGCTCTGGACTGGCAGCGAGTTTGGGCGTTTGGGGTGGGGGGAGGGGAAGAGGGTGACATCAAATGGCCCTTGCAGGGAGATAATTCTGGATTTGTGCTCTTGCTGAAAAGCGTGTTATTATCTAACCTCCCAATATAGACCCCGTCCCGTCGGTACGGGTTTGGATCCGCAGAGACGGTCTGGAGGCCCCTTTTGCTAACCGAGAGGTCTGTGAACCATACGATGCGACCTCCATCCTCTGACCGTCTCCTCCCCCTTAACCCCTACAAGGTGATTTCCGAAAACTCAGCAACTCTGTTTCTTGAAACTTTCTCAGCTTTTGCATTGCACTTACCGATTTGCCGGGGCCCTCACACCCCTATCATGGTAATTCTTTTGGCATGGATTGTTGATTTGGTTAGATTTATCCTCCCTGGGCTAATGTGCTCTTATTTATGCCAGTGTTTGTGGTCTGGAGTGTAGACTCTCGGGAAGGGCAGCCATGAGGCTGCATGTGTTCGGTGCGCGGATACACCATGAATTTTCCTGAGAGTTGGCAGGCATGGAATATTCTTGTGTTCACTCGAGCCCCTGATTTCAGGCCCTTCTGTAAGTTGGGAGAAGAGAGGAAATCCCTTGTGAGGGGTTTTAGGGAGAAGAGGGTGAGGTTGTGGTGTTTCCTTTCTGGTCTTCTGTTCTCCAGAGAGAGGCTGGCAGCCCCGTCTCATCCCTCCGTTCCCCCACCACTTGGCGTCCTGGCTACTGGAGCTGTTTAGTTGCTGGAGAAAACCCTGAAGAAACGTGTGTTTGTCTGCGGTGGCTGGGCGGGGCTCTGAGGAGGTAGGGACTGCATCTGCTCTGCTCCTTGTCATAGGGTGTCGCAGGCCTCTTTTGCATATTGGCAGCGACAAGTTGAGGCTTGTTCATTTGACACAGTCCTGTGGTCACAGCGAATCTCTCTAAAGCTCTAACCAGTGGAGAAGGGGGTTGTATGGATCCTCTGAACTCTGAGTGGGACTTCCTGAAAGATTTATTAGGAGAAAAACCTTCCTGGAAGCAGCAGAAGAACAAACACAGAATCTCTGGCTGGGCAGAGCCTCGTGGCCTGGTCTCCACTATCTGGGAGCAGTTACATCTTGGAGGTGAGGAGTGCCTCGTGGTCTGAGGCCTTGGCACGAGGGCCCGACTGGAATTCCATGCATGGGTCTGGTGATGGAAAGGCTCCGTGGGTGCAGGGCCGATCATAATGCTGTACCCAGTGAACTCCCCGGGGGGATTTGTTATGTGATCACATTTTTGTTTTGCCTGGTTAAGCGTGGTTTTTATTCTTGTTGTTGCTTTGCCGACTTTGAGTGCAGAATTTTGCATAAACCAGGCTTCCCCTGAAAAGTAGAAGAAATCAGTTTCTTTTTCTGGTTGCTTTTCCTCTCTCTTCCTCCGTCTCCTCTCCGTCCCTCCCCCATGCTGTCCGGTTTGTCCTTTCTGACCAGGGCTGGAGCTTTTCTGGACTGGAAAGAGGGAGTTTTTCTCAGCTCTGAAATATCAGAACTCACCCCCTCCCGCCCCCTCCAGCCCCGCAACTGATTTCTGTGATTGCTGGTCTGAAACCCGGTGATTCTTCACCGTCCATATCCAGTTGATCTCTTGTGCTTTTAGCTTCTTTTTCTTCCTCCTAAATGGCAGGCAGGCAGGCTGGGTTTGGGAGTCTGTGTCCCAGGGCCTTCTGCCTGCCCGGGATGGACAGTTTTCTCGGACAGCTCAACGAAAGAACCTCCTGGATGATAAGACAGCCTTCCTTTATTCCTCTTTGTGTGATTCTCCCTGAATTTGGTCACACCAATGGCGGTGTTGACCCTTTCCTGCGGAAGTGAGGACCTGGGATAGTTGCTGGTCCATATTCTTTGGCGAGGTAGCCGCGGGCCTGCTAACGAACGGCCGCACTTCACTGTGTGTTAGATGTCAGATGGCTTCCTGGATGCTCAAGCTTTTTACTTTGTATTTCCTTTCCTAGTTGGCTGGAGACATGGCATTCTCCCTGTTTTGTTTGTTTTTTTTAAACTCCGGATGCTGGTTTGTAATCTCTGTAAGAGGCCAGGACTCCTCCTTTATATACCCTGTGTCTGTGGTGGGGTGGGGGGAAACCCTGAATCAAGATGGAAACAGAGCAGCAACGTGGAATAATTTTGACCGTAGATGAGTTCCGTTGATGGTCACTTCTACCCCTTCCCTAGAAAACCTCAGAAACTCTAGGCCTTACAGGAGAATGCTGCTAAAATGGGTCCTTTGACAGGTTCTTCCTCTATCTCTTCCGTTTTTCTGGTCCCCAGTAATCTAAGGATCTAATAACAGTAATAGTAAGTGATAATAATAATAGTTTCTTTCTTTGTTTTTTTGGCCGTGCCGTGTGGCACGCAGGATCTTAGTTCCCCCACCAGGAATCGAACCCGCACCCCCTGCAGTGGAAGTGTGGAGTCTTAACCACTGGACCGCCAGGGAAGTCCCAATAATAGAAGTAGTTTCTATAGTAACATTGAAATCGTATATCAGGCCAAGCATGTTCTTCCCATTTCATGCTCGCTATAACCTCACCAAGGCAGTTATGATAAAATGTCTAGCAGTGATGGAGTTCTTATGACGGGCCAGACTCAGTTCTAAATGCTTTAGATATGTTATCTCATTTAATCTCCCAACCATCGCATAAGGTATTATTATTATTATTATTATTATTATTATTATCACTGTTTTGCAGATGGGGGACCCACAGCTCAGAGAGATTAAAAATATCCCTACCCTCACCGCCAGGTCACACAGCTAAGGAGTGGCAGAGCCACTGGGATTTGGACCTGGGCCATCTGGCTCCCTGGTTCTCTAACCACTCCTAGAAGTTAGAGGACAGTGAAACTAAAAGCAAGCAAGGATGCTTCTTGGCCTGGAGCGGGAGGGATCAAGTGTGTTCCCCAGTCTGCCCTCCTCACCCGGCACAGATGGAAACCCCAAACCCTGTGTGAAGACACTGCCTGCTCTGGCTGCCAGCCCGTTGCACTAACACTGGGGTCAGGAAGTCATGGGAGGGGGGCTGCAGTGTTTGAAAAATTCTGGACGGGGGTCTGGGGAGCCTGCGCAGAGCCTCAGTCTTGGTGTGAAATCTATGGGCATTTGCAAAACGCTACATCCAGGCGTCCTGCCTGGCTTTGTGACCAGCATATAATCACTGTGAACATTCGGAGCAGATGGGAGACAGAGCTCTTTCTGCAAATGATCACATACCCTTCCCCCGATCCCCTGCCCCCGCCCCCCAAACTATCTGAGTACCTGTCTCTCTTCTGCGTGGGTTCTGGTCCTGTAGCAGCCCTAACAATACAAGGATTGTGGTGGCCCCTCTCCCAACCCTGTCATTAGAATCGAAAACAATGCCAGCCCATAAACACAAGATTCACATACACGAGGTCAAAATGGTCTCAGTCACTTTTTAATTCCAGAATTCTGAATGTTTTTCTTTTATTTTCTCTTCCTCTTTTTTCTGAGGGGGGCAGGCAGGGGTATGGGGTGTTGTTTTGCTGGTGCCTGGTGGGTAGTCTGAGCCCCAGGGTTATTTGTTGACCTGCCTCTTTTCCCTCCTGGACCATGCATTTCTTGGGAGCAGCAGGGGGCGGGGAAGGGGTGGGGGATGCTGGCAGTCATCTTCATCTGGTGGCTCACTCAGCCCTGGGACTTTGTTGGATCAGGTGGCTGCCAAGAACTGCTTTATTTTCAAGGAAACAAGCGATGCCCAGTCTCCAGTCATTGTCTTCTTAGATGTGAAACAGCCCAACAGGGTGGGAAGCAGAGGGTTTGCCCTGAGGGAAGGGACAGGGAAGAAATGAAGGAAGACTGAAAGCGGCAGAAGGCACCTGGGTCGCCTGAGACCTGGGTTCCTTTGGGGCAAGTTACCTGACCTCTGTAAGCCTGTTGACTCGCCTATGAAATGGGGATGGTAAAGCACCAGCTTCACTGGTGGCTGTGAGGAGGAAATAGGGGATGAACAGCTGGCGGGTGTTCAGCACAGCGCCTGGGCTCCTGGTAAGTGCTCAGCAAAAGTTAGCTAATATTATTACTGTTACAATTATTGGGTTTTATTACTTCCTGTGGCTGCTTGGAGTGGTGGTTTCTGAATACGTTGTAATGCGTAAAGGTAACATTCTGGTTACATAGATCATAAAATGGCAGTGACTTCACTGTTCTTTGCAAGCATCTGAACAAAATACTGGCTAATAGATGTAAGAAAGAGATAGGAATGGGGAGAGGTCTCAGAAAGGAGAGGAATCAGAGGGTGCCCCTCAGGTGTCAGCCTGCTTTTATATGTATATATAAAGTTTTTTTCTTTTTTTGGCTGCGTTGGGTCTTTATTGCTGCGCGCAGGCGTTCTCTAGTTGCGGCAAGCCGGGGCTACTCTTCGTCGCGTTGCGCAGGCTTCTCAATGCGGTGGCTTCTCTTGTTGAGGAGCACGGGCTCTAGGCATGTGGGCTTCAGCAGTTGTGCACGCAGGCTCAGTAGTTGTGGCGCACGGGCTTAGTTGCTCCGTGGCATGTGAGATCTTCCTGGACCAGGGCTCGAACCCATGTCCCCTGCAGGACATTGGCAGGCGGGTCCTTAACCACTGTGGCACCAGGGAAGTGCCGTCAGCCTGCTTTTGCAGGTTACGTCAGCTCTCGCTGCTGCTGAGAGGAGAATAGTTTCCCCCTCCCAGGGATGATGCAAAGCACTTAGCACAGTGGAAGTAAGCTCTTGAGGAAGACATAAAAATGATTGTTATTCTTGGTTATTCTTCAGGGCTCCCTTTCCCTGGTAATTTGGCCCTAACATTTGCTACTCTGTTTAAGATGGATTGGTTGAGCCATACATTTACTGAGCAGTTGCTGGGTGGCAGGCACTGTTCTAGCTCCTGGAGATCCAGCAGGGAAGAAAAGAAACAAAAATCTTTGTCCTCCTGGAGTTTCCATTCTATCCAAGCCACACAGTGGGGACAGGGTGGTCCCCACAGGGAGTTGGGGAACGGATAGAGGCAGCGCAGACAAAAACTACACCGACTCCTGACACCACTGTATTAGTAGATGTAAGGTGCTTAGCACAGGGCTGCCATGTGGTAGTGACTATGTAAGTGGTGGTTGCTATATTTATAATTATTGCCTTCCTTTGGGGGCTGCCTCATAAAATAGCAACCTCCCTAACTCCCATTTCTATTCCTGAGTCTCACTGTTGTCCATAGTACTTGTTATGGACTGAATGTTTGTGTTTTTCCAAAATACATATGTTGAAATATTAACCCCCAATGTGATGGTATTTAGAGATGGGGCCTTTGGGAGGTAATTATGGATAGGTGAGGTCATCAGGGTGGGATCCTTGTGAGGTGATTAGTGCCCTTATCAGAAGAAATGCCAGGGAGCTTGCCTTCTCTCTCTGGCCATGTGAGAACACAGCAAGAAGGTAGTTGTTTACAAATCAGGAAGAGAGCTCTCATCAGAAACCAGATTGGCCAGAACCTTGGTCTTGGACTTCTAGCTTCCAGAACTGTGAGAAATACATTTCAATCATTTAAGCTACCCCATCTGTAGTATTTTGTTATGGCAGCCTGAACAAACTGAGACAGTACTAATCGTTACCTGATATACCGTATATCTGTCTTCTCTCCTGAAATTGTAAACTCTGTAGGGCTGAGGGCTTCATTCATTCATTCGTTCATTTATTCATTTTCATCAATTCAGCACATACTTATTGCATGCCTACTCTGTGCCAAGCAGGGTTCTAGGTGCTGGGAATGTGGAAAGGAACAAGAAAGATGTTGCATGAATGGTGCTTGCATTGCAGCTGGGGTAGACATTGGGAACAGCAGACATAATAAACTGAGGACATTTACAGTGTATTTGAGGGTAATGTGTTCTATGGGAACAAGTGGAGCAGAGTCAGGGTCTGGAGGGCTGGGGTGGGCTGCAGTGTTAAGGTGGCTTCAGGGCAGCCTCTGTTGACAAGCTGTTACTGGAGCAGCCTTGAAGGAGGTGAAGGGGTTAGTCTTAGAGCATGGTGTTCCTGGCCCAGGGAAGAGCCAGGTTCGAGGCTGAGGGCAGGGGTGGGCCTGTGAGAGGGAGAAGCAGGATGAAGAACGGAT